AAAAAAAAAAGGGGCAGGGGGCCTGGTTACTGGAATGTTAAAAGGAGTCTGATAATGTAGAGATTCAGGAAGCCAAATCATTTTGACTTTTCCAGTCTCCCTGCTATGGCTGTTTTGAATCAGTTGTTTTTATATTGTTTTCTGATTTTTGAGTACAGAAGCCTCTATTTCTATGTCTTTCCAAAAGCATAATCCTTTTCTTATGTAAACTGTTAAAGTATTAATAGTTATTCCTACTGTCTAATGATATGTTTATTCTTCTGTTTTTTAAGGATTCTAAGTCTGATGGATTGACAACAGCTACATCTGCAGGTGGCTAATGTTTTATTATATTGATTTCTGTCACTGTTTTGGAATTCTTGAAATTTGTTTCAGTGTAGCCTTTGGGTTGATGAAAATGCACTTTTGGCAAGTTCAAGTGCTAGAATACTGAGAAATGAAGTTTACTGCAGGTGCTTAAGGTAGCTCCTGGCAGCCATGGTGTGCGGAATTGTTAGGTGATATTTGGTATTTGTTATTTCTAGAAGTGAGAGAGGAATTGTCATAACTGTAAAAGCACCTCTCAGTCATAGTTTTGAACGTATTTCTAATTACTTCATATATTCAAGCATTTAGGATGAGTCTGTGCTGAGAAAGACAGTGTCTATTGGCGTTTAAACTATAGTTTTTGTCAACACTGGTTTTATTCATTGCTTTTCTGTTCTTATTGCTAGAAGAGAAAACAGTGAAATGCTGTTTGTTTCTAAGGTCAATATTTTTTGCTCCATGTTAAGTCTTCCTGAGGCATCTATGGAATATAATTTCCTTATGTGCGCATAAAGTATTTGACTGATCATGATGAAGTGGTTTCTAATCAGAGTTCTGGTCTCAGAATTCAGCACGTTAAAATGATACGAAGGGATATTTACTGACTAGTGGAAACCACTATGTCTGTAATCCTTCATAGGACACGACTTGTGACAGATTCGAGCATCATGAATGTAGATACGTATCTTCTAGCACTGTTATTTATTTTCCTAATTGAATGTTAAGAGATCTTGGATTAACTACTCCTTTATCTACTGTGTTTTATTATTGATGTGAGTAACTATATAACCTTGTCCTAGGCAACTTAGAAAATAATACTGTTCTTTTTTGTGGAACTAGAATCATTAGAACGTCAACTAGAAGAGATCCAAGTAGAAAATTTTAATATTAAGCAAATGAAAGACTTATTTGAGCAGAAAGCAGCACAGCTAGCCACTGAAATTGTGGGTAAGTGTATTAATGTGCAGTCTAATTCTGTTCTCTATTTATGCAACTCTTGCAAGTGATCTTTTGTTCAACTTTCTTCTTAATTAGATCTTAAAGCAAAATATGATGAAGAAACCAGCCTTCGGGAAGGTGCAGAACAGAAAGTGGCAAACCTGACACAAGAACTGCAGAAAGAGAGAAATACAGTAGAAGACTTAAAGACCGAACTGGTATTGACACCACAGTCTTAATGTCTTAATGTCATTTGTGAGTCATAGAATGGTTGAGGTTGGAAG